GCCTTCTTACTAGGTAAGATTTTCCTTCTTTCTAACACTTACTCATCCTTCAATATTTATCAAGTACTTTAAATTTTCTGTGAATCCATCCCTGACACCTGAATCTGAATTAGGATTTTTATTAATTTTAAAAAGATATAACTTGCATGGCCAGCAATTTGTTATACTGGGCTAAACCTCCGCCTGTGGCACTGACATTTCAGATCCTGGCTGCTTCTCTTCTGATCCAGCTCTCTGCTAATGGCCTTGGAAAGGAGTAGAAGATGGCCCAAGTCTTTGGGCCTTTGAACCACGTGCTAGACCTGAAAGAAGCACCTGGCTCTTGGCTTCAGATTAGCCCAAATCTGGCCGTTATGGCCATTTGGGGAATGAACCAGCAGATGGAAGACCTTTCTCTCTGTCTGTAACTCTTACTCTCAAAAAATGAATAAAATCTTTAACCAAAAAAAGGTATAACATCCTTCCATTATACTATCAGTCATGTGATGTTATAATTGTATATTTACTTTCCTTATCCCACAGTGTAGCAGATACAAATTAGGTACATCAAAACTGAAACCCCTAAGCACAAGTAGCTTACATTTTATCTTTTTATTCCTCACAAATAAATGAGCATTGGTTGAAAAAGGCATGAACCTCACCATTTCAGTATGATAATGACCACACATATCTATCTTTAGTCTTTGCCTACCTACCTTTTTTTTTTTTTTTTTTAACAGGCAGAGTGGACAGTGAGAGGGAGAGACAGAGAGAAAGGTCTTCCTTTGCCATTGGTTCACCCTCCAATGGTCGCCGCGGCCGGCGCGCTGCGGCCGGCACACCGCGCTGATCCGATGGCAGGAGCCAGGTACTTATCCTGGTCTCCCATGGGGTACAGGGCCCAAGGACTTGGGCCATCCTCCACTGCACTCCCTGGCCACAGCAGAGAGCTGGCCTGGAAGAGGGGCAACGGGACAGAATCCGGCTCCCGATCGGGACTAGAACTCGGTGTGCCAGCGCCGCAAGGTGGAGGATTAGCCTAGTGAGCCACGGCGCCGGCCCCTACCTCCCTTTTAAATGCCAGATCTCCTGTTCCAATTGCCTAATGCTTATCTCCACATGCATGCCTATTTGCTACATCTAAAACTCAGTTCCATATCTTCCTGAACCCCTTTTCCCATCTGCCCCAAATCTGCTTCTCATTCTACTGTGGTTCAAATGTTTGTGTCCCTCCAAAATTTATGTTGCAACCTAAGACTCAATGTGACAATATTAAGAGGCAGAGTCTTTGGGAGATGATTAAGTCAGGAAGGCAAAATCCTCACAAATGAGACTAATGTCCTTACCAACAAGACCCTAGAGAGCTGCCTGGCTCTTTTTTCCTTCCTCCCTTGTGCCATGTGAAGACACAGTGACCATACCTTCTTGAGAAGCAGAGAGCAGGGCCTCAACAGACACCAAACACCCTGGTTACTTGCCTTTGGAATTCTAGCCTCCATAACTATGAACAAAAATTTATGTTGTTTTTGTCATACCCAATCTCAGAGATTTTGTTATAGTAAGAAGAACAGACCATGACATCTGAATTCTCATCTCAATTTAATATTTTCTGTCCAGTTTCTAACACTAGAAACCTCAATACTTTTTCAACATCTTCATTTTCATTTCATAATCAGTTGACTTTCAAAAATCTGTTAATTCCTGTTGAAGTGAAATAGACACTATCAGAAAAAGCGACTTGATCAGCCCTTGTCTTGACTATTGAGGAACAACTTAATACTTTATCCCTTTTAGTATTCTTTTGTTCTACTTAATACTATTGGTTGAACTCTTTAATTAACACACAATTATACTTAGGTGTTTAAATTTAACTGAAAAGTGAACCCTGTGAAATGTAACAGTGGGAATAAGAGAGGGAGGAGATGTAAAGTCTGGGACATGCTCAATCGGATTTGCCCCAAACTGTAGAGTTAGAAATGTACCAGGGGATTCCAATACAATCACATCAAGGTGGCATGTACCAATGACATCTCACTAGTCAAAGTGATCAGTTTCAGTTCACAATTGATCATAATGAAAGGATTAAGAGTCAAAGGAATCACATAAACAAGACTAATGTCTGCTAATACTATCTGAAAGAACTAAAGAGGAGAGAACGATCGAACATGGGGAAGCAGGATACACAGCAGACTCACAGAATGGCAGATGTCAAAAACAGCACTCTGGCCTCAGAATCAGACCTTAAGGCATTCGGATCTGCCTGAAGAGCCCATGAGAGTATTTTAAGCACGGAAAGCCAAGACACTCTGCCAAAAAAAAAAAAAAAAAATCCACCTAAATGAAAGATCTCTATGAGTGAGATCCCAGTGGAAAGAATGGGCCATCAAAGAAGGAGGTACCTTTCTCTGAAGGGAGGAGAGAACTTCCACTTTGACTATGACCTTGTCTAAATAAGATCGGAGTTGGTGAACTCAAAAGGCTTCCATAGCCTTGGCAACCCATGACAAGAGCGTAGGGTGATTACTGACGCCATAAACAAGAGTGTCAATTGTTACATCATCAACAGGAGTCACTGTGCACTTGCTCCCCATGTAGGATCTCGGTCCTTAATGTGTTGTGCAATGTGAATTAATGCTAGTACTAGTACTCAAACAGTACTTTACATTTTGTATTTCTGTGTGGGTGCAAACTGTTGAAATCTATACTTAATATACACTAGATTGATTTTATGAATATAAAGATAATTGAAAATGATTCTTGATGTGAATGGAATGGGAGAGGGAATGGGAGATGGGAGGGTTGCTGATTGGAGGGAAGTTATAGTGGTGAAAAAGCCACAGTAATCCAAAAGCTGTACTTTGGAAATTTATATTTATTGAATAAAAATTTTAAAAATCTGTTAATTCATCATAAGATAACTTCTACGTCTGAATTTAATCAATAATATTTAAAGGAACACTAGTTTCACATGTGACATAAGATTTTTTTAAAATGGGGAGTGTTTGTTTCATCAAATGAACTGGAGATAGTTAGGTTAAAAACAGTATATGTTACTTTTATTCATTATTTCTCAGAACTTTTTTTTTGCAACTAAGGTATAAATTTGATGCAAAAAATTTTAAAACCCATGCATAGTTTTTTCATACAACTTTTTTCCCAAATAAACCTTTTATTTAAGGAGTACAAATTTCATAAGTGCAACTTTAGGAATATAGTGATTCTTCCCAGATACCCACCCTCCCACTTCATCTCCTCCTCCCTCTCCCATTCCTTTTCTCCATTAAGATTCAGTTTCAATTAACTTTATACACAGAAGGCCAACTCTTTACTACATAAAGATTTCAACAATTGGCACACACAAAAAAAAGCTGTTTGAGAATAATTTTTACAGTTAACTCTCATAATCTAACTCATTGGGGACAAGAGGTCCAGCATGGGAAGTAAAAGCACAGTGACTCCTATTGTTAATTTAACAAGTAACACTCACATATATGATGTCAGTGATTATCCTAGGCTCTTGAAATGAATTGCCTAGGCTATGGAAGCCTTTTGAAACCTCAAACCAAACAAAGTGGAAGTTCTCTCCTCCCTTCAGAGAAAAGTACATTCTTCTTTGATGGCCACCTTCTTTCCATTAGGGTCTCACTCACAGAGATCCTTCCTGTAGGACATTTTTTGACTCAGTGTCTTGGCTTTCCATGCCTGAAATGCTCTCATGGGTTTTTCAGCCAGACAAGAATGTCTTAAGGGTTGATTCTGAGATCAGAGTGCTATTTAAAGTATTCGTCATTATATGAGTCTGCTCTGTGACTGTTTACAGGTTGGAACATTCTATCCTTTTCATTTCTATCTATTATTATTGCCAGACACTTGATCTTACTTATATGATCCCTTTAACACTTAATCCTATCTATATGATCACTTTAACACTTAAGATAGTATTTTTACCATCCAGGTTAATGGGATTTGGGGCCCTATGGCAAGTTTTTAAACTGTACCCTTAGAAGTAAGTCCGTAGGAATGTATGCAGAACTATATAGCTTTATAGTTACAAACTTAATGATCAATATGAATCATCAAGAAAGGAATATGTATTTTTTTCATATTGACCTGACTAGTAAATTCTTCATTAAGGTGAATTGCTCAGGACTGGACTTCCAAAGATGACACAAGGAGAAATACTGATATATTGACCCTCTTCCACACTTCATGCTTTGCTGCTGCCCTCATTAATAGCCCTTCCATCACTTCCCTGGACCATCTCTTTCCTGTACAACCTCCTCAGTAACTTCTCTGTAACCATACTCTCCACAGTCTCCACTGCCAGTTTTATTCTTTCTGACAGGAAAATGGCCTTTCCTATTCTCACTATTCTCTCCTTATCTCTAAGCAAACTTCTCCTAAAAAGCCACTTGTTATGAGATCTCTTTGATAAATTTTCATTCTGGCCCATGACTAGTTACTCTTCAATGTTTGCAGAATGCCTTGCATATACTCTGCTACAGCAAAGTTACACACATGGTTAAGATTATGTCTGTTCCTGTATTTATAGATGAGTATATGCATACATACATACATAGTTCAAAGGGGAGAAACTCTATAGCTCCCAAAAATATTTTTAGAGTTTTGTTAGAACATACTTAAAAATAGATTGCCTGTCTCACCTACCTTGCTCAACAAGACAACTCGGGGTATAAAATCAGAATTGCTTTAGCAATAGTGCAATCATTTTTCAGAGGATTTTTATTAGAAGGACTATCACAGCTGGAAAGCTGTAGACATGGCCGGCCAGTTCTTTTTTTCCTAAATTTTTCTTTCTAAGTAGGATGTTCTCTTCTCAACTCCTGGTGGCCCCCAGACAATTAGCAATTCTATTACTCATGCCTTCTTACCCTTCATGGATAAGATATAAAGTTTAGGCCATGATCTGAACAAGGAAATCCATGACAAGCACATGAGAAGCAATCACTTTTGAGCCTGCTGGCTTGCTGTACTTCTTTATCAACCCCCCCAAAACTTACCTTCTGTACTATGAGCTGTGGACTCAAGCTTTTCTTTTATACTAAGAAGTTGAGGCTTCTTAAAGCAAGTTCGCTGTGAGGTCTCTTCAACATGTTCACTTTTGGGAAGTTCCTTGGGACAAATATTTCTGAGTGCTTTTTGATGTTCATGAACCACATCAAGTACTTCCTTTTTTTTAACATCCAAAGGTATGTATTTGATAGATTTTGGTTTTTGGTGTTTATTTTTAAAAACATTTATAGAAGTACCTTGAACTTTATTCTATAAATAAAATTAAAATAAATTTAATAAAATTTTATTACTGAATATATAATAAATTAATAATAAATTAATCTCTACTGAATACATCTTACAAAGCACCTTACTGTGTAAGAGATTTACTATAAGGAGCAGGAGAGTAATCAGCTAAATCAGATATTATTTCATGTAGTCATCCAAAAGCCCTTCACAAAGATTAGGGTTTATACTCCAGTTGAAAAGAAATGTAAAATTTGAAGTAGCAACTTTCAGCTCAAGTATTCTACATTTAAATGCAGGTCTAAAGTCCATTTAAAAGCTGGAGTTTCAGGACCAGGGCTGTGACTCAGTAGGTTAATCCTCTGCTGGGGTGCTGGAATCTAGTCCCAGCTGCTCCTCTTCAAATCCAGCTCTCCGTTAGGGCCTGGGAAAGCAATATAAGATGGCCCAAGTGCTTGTGCCCCTGCACCTGCATGGGATACATGGAAGAAACTCCTAGCACCTGGCTTCAGATTGGCACAGCTCTGGCAGTTGCAGCCATTTGGGGAGTGTAATCAGTGGGTGGAAGGCCTTTCTCTCTCTTTCTCTCTTCCACTCACAGTCTGTAACTCTATCTCTCAAATAAATAAATAAATAAATAAATAAATAAATAAAATCTTTAAAAAAAAATCTGGAGTTTCAAACATATAAGAATGTATTTAAGTGGCCAGTGTTTGGATCCAATAAGTTAAGCTAATACCTGCAAAGCTAGAATCATATGTCAGGGTAACAGTTCAAGTCTAGGCTGCACCACTTCCTCTCCACCTCCCTAATAAGGTGTCTGGGAAAGCAGTGGAAGTGCTTGGGTCCCTAGCATCCATGTGGGATGTGGGAGACCAAGGTGGAGTTTCAGGTTCTAGGCTTTAACTTGGCCAATCCCTCTCTGTTTTGGTCAATTTTGGATTGAACCAGGGGGATAGAAGATCAATTCTCTCTCTCTCTCTCTCTCTCTCTCTCTCTCTCCCTCTCCCTCTCTCTCTCTTTCCTTTCTCTTTCTCTCTCTCACTTTCTCCTCTCTCTCTGTCAATCTTCCTTCAAATAAATAAAATAATACACCATTTTTAAAGAGAAAGAAATTATTTTCCATCATCATTTCATAACTTTAAGATGTCCACAAAATGCTAATATCCCCAAACTTTTTTCTTATTGAACTAGAAATCACTGTCATACATGGAGATGAGCTTTCAAAAAAAACTATATTGATAATAGGATAAATATTTGTCATTTTAATCACTTAATTGCTTCATAATTGTGTCTACAACAAGCAATAGAAAAATATAAATCTTAGCCGGCGCCGCGGCTCACTAGGCTAATCCTCCGCCTAGCGGCGCCGGCACCCCGGGTTCTAGTCCCGGTTGGGGTGCCGGATTCTGTCCCGGTTGCCCCTCTTCCAGGCCAGCTCTCTGCTGTGGCCAGGGAGTGCAGTGGAGGATGGCCCAGGTGCTTGGGCCCTGCACCCCATGGGAGACCAGGAAAAGCACCTGGCTCCTGGCTCCTGCCATTGGATCAACGCGGTGCGCCGGCCACAGCACGCCGGCCGCGGCGGCCATTGGAGGGTGAACCAACGGCAAAGGAAGACCTTTCTCTCTGTCTCTCTCTCTCACTGTCCACTCTGCCTGTCAAAAAATAAAAAAAAAGAAAAATATAAATCTTTTATGTTTTTATTGGCAATTATCTAAGTAATGATATTTGTTCTTTAAATAGAGTTATAGCTCCTTTTCACCAAAATGATTTAGAACAATTTAAACTGTTGCCAATTCATGATAGCAGCAATAAAGAATATTAGGGTGTTGTTAAGTTGGCAAGTACCAATGCCATCTTACTAGTTAAAGTGATCAGTTTAAGTTCATAATTGATTACAACGATAAGATTAAGTGTCAAAGGGATCACATAAATAAGACCAATGTCTGCTAATAATAATTGATAGAATTAAAAAAGAGGAATGATCCAACATGGGAAGCAGGATGCACAGCAGACTCCTAGAGTGGCAAATGCCCTAAATAGCATTCTGCCCTCAGAATCAGCCCTTAAGGCATTCAGATCTGGCTAAAGAGCCCATAAGAGTTTCTCAGGTATGGAAAGCCAAGATAATTAAATATCTCTGTGAATGAGATCCCCGTGGAAAGAACAGGCCATCAAAGTAGATACCTTTCTCTGAAGGAAGGAGAGAACTTCCACTTTGATTATGACCTTGTCTGTGAACTCAAGAGGCTTCCACAGCCTTGGCAGCTCATGACAAGAGCTTCGGGTGATTACTGACGTCATAAATAAGAGTGTCAATTGTTAAATCAACAACAGGAGTCATTGTGCACTTATTCCCATGTAGGATCTCTGCCCTTAATGTGCTGTACTATGAGAATTAAGGGTAAAACTAGACTGCAAACAGTATTTTATACTTTGTGTCTGTGTGGGTGCAAACTGTTGAAATCTTTACTTAGTATATGCTAAGTTGATCTTCTTGATCTTCTGTATATTAAGATAATTAAAAATGAATCTTAATGAAGACTGGGATGGGAGAGGGAGTAGGAGATGGGATGGCTTATGGGTGGGAGGGAGGTTATGGGGGGAAAAACTGCTATAATCCAAATGTTGTACTTTTGGAATTTATATTTATTAAATAAAAGTTTTCTTAAAAATTATTAATAAAGGTTAAGATTCTAAGACATATCCCTCATAACTGCAAACACTGTTATTCTTCCATTCCATATGCCTAGCAGTAAAATCAACATATTTGAAAATTATTTTAAATTTATTAAAAGAAACTAGTTTCTGCTAATACAAAACTGATATAATTAAAAAGGAGAGAATGATTCAACATGGGAAGCGGGATACACAGCAGACTCATGGAATGGCAGATGTCAAAAACAGCACTCTGGCCTCAGAATCAGACCTTAAGGCATTCGGATCCAGCTACAAAGCCCAAGAGAGTATTTTAGGCATGGAAAGCCAAGACACTCTGCCAAAAAAAATGACCTAAATGAAAATGGGATCTCTGTGAGTGAGATCCCAGTGGAAAGAACGGGCCATCAAAGAAGGAAGTACCTTTCTCTGAAGGGAGGAGAGAACTTCCACTTTGACTATGTCCTTGTCTAAATAAGATCGGAGTTGGCGAACTCAAGAGGCTTCCATAGCCTTGGAAACTCATGACAAGAGCCTTGGGTGATTACCGACACCATAAATAAGAGTGTCAATTGTTACATCATCAACAGGAGTCACTGTGCACTTGCTCCCCATGTAGGATCTCTGTCCTTAATGTGTTGTACTATGAGAATTAACAGTATAAGTATTACTCAAACAGTACTCTATACTTTGTGTGTCTGTGTGTGCAAACTGTTGAGATCTTTACTTAGTATATACTAAATTGATCTTCTGTGTATAAAGATAATTGAAAATGAATCTTGATGTGAATGGGATGGGAGAGGGAGTGGGATATGGAATGGTTGTGGGTGGGAGGGAGGTATGGGGGGAAAAAGCAGCTATAATCCAAAAGTTGTACTTTGGAAATTTATATTTATTAAATAAAAGTTAAATAAAAAAGATAGATGGAATTAATATGATCATAGGGGAGTTTGAAAAAAAATTCTAGGAAAGGTTTATAACAAAGTCTTTAAAACTTTGTGTGTTTTAGGTCACTGCTGTATATAGTACTTGCTTTGTTTAAAAATTTCCAAATTTCTTTTCACTTTAGCTTGTATTATAATTACCTCTAAATATTCCTAAATATTATCTTTTTCTCATATATATTTTTTCATTACATTTTCTGAGTTGTAGGATTTTTTTTGAGGATAAAAATTTGTCTTTTATTCCAAGAGGCTTTAAAATGTTTAGAAATATTTAGAAATAATTGCTTTGTTTTAAATTGTCCATTCCTTCCCAAAACATATTATAAGTACTCATTGTTTCTCTCATTAATAAATATGAAGACAATGAAAGTAAAAAAAAATTATTAAAAGAAAACCTTAGTTAAGCAATGTTAACAAAGCTGATTACAGATTAAACCCACCAGTGCCAGTCTCAGCATAGAGAGTTATTCAAAAGTAACATAAAGAAAAATTACAGTCCTCTGCCCACCCAAGCAGCACTAGAAAATATTTTAAATATTTATATGAAATTCTACAATGAAAATTTTCTATGTGTTTGAAAAGGGGACAGGATCGTGTGACTCACAATAAACCATGCTAATGTACCCTTCCTTTACCTGTCTGCCTAAAAGCTCATTTGTCAAATAGCTATCCCTCCACCAAATTTCTGATATCTCTAGATGCCCTTCTTCAAATTCCCCTCGTGCTGACCCTCCCCTGTCTCTTCCCTGTCCGTTTCCTTCTCACCCCTTATTCTCACCTTCCAATTCCATGACATTCAGCAAATACTTATTGAGCCAAGAACAATGCTTGTTACTAGAGATGGAAATTCAAAAACGACAGTCTGCCCTGGAGGAGCTGTCAGACTGACAGACAGACAGTGCTAATACAAAGTGATATGGGAGAAGATAGAAGCAAGCATGTCATGCTAAGGGCATAGAAGAAAAGCATCTCTCAGTATATTTTCTAGTTTATCTTTGTCTAAAATAATCCCTTTGTTTAAAAGGATAGTCTTTTGAGATAATAAATCCAAATATTTCTGTTATATTTCATCAAAACATTAAAAATGTACTAAAGGTGAAAATTATACAAATATAACTAATTAATATAACTGAAAAATCTTTTAACCTTTTTTTTTAATTTTAAATGCCCCCAACAGCCAGAGCTGGACCAATCCAAAGCCAGGAGCAATGAGATTCTTCCAGTTTTCCTATGTAAGTGCAGAGGCCCAAGCACCCAGGCTATCTTCCACTGCCCTCCCAGGCCATAAGCAGAGAACTGGATAGAAGGAGAAATAGCCAGGACACAAACCAGTGCTCACATGGGAAGCCAGAGCCACAGGTGGAAGCTTAGCCTAGTATGCCACAGCCACAGCCCCTAAAAAATTTCTAAATGCCATTTGAAATAAATTAATTTTTAAAGCTAGAAAGATTTCATTTTCTCATCTACACAGAATTTATAACAAATTAGGGCTCATGTAATCCTTTGGAATAATCATTCTAGTGTACAAAATGGTTAATTTCTAAAAATAATAGGTAAATACAAAGCATTAACCTCCTTTATGTTCTCATGTTCAGCAATGAGATTTTTTGCCTCTTGAAAAAAATCTTGCTTCATTACATCTAATGTAGACCCTTAAATAGAAACAGAGAAACATTGCTAAGCAATTAATGTAATTTCTCATTTAACATGCTGAAACTATGAAATTAAAATTTTAGAAGCCATAATAAATCTCGCAGAGCATTATAAAAAGTGAATTATATAAACAGACATTATGAGTAGATGTAAAATTAATAAAATATCCCTTAAATATATACTCTTTATTTTTAAAAAATCACCTTGGAATAATTGGAGTGATATTTTAGGTTATCCTAAATTATTAATACCAGGGAAACCAACAGAAACAAAATTTATATATATATATATATATATATATATATATATATAGGTGTGTTAGTGTTCTTTTTTAAAAATTATTTACTAGGTATTTATTACAGTTTTTTTTATTTTTAAGCATTCTTTTTTGAGAAACAATTAACTATAAAGAATAACCAAGAATGATACATCTTTTGCAAGCACTTACATATACTGTAGCTTATGAACATAAGAATATCCTCCATTTAATACATTAAAATGAAGTAAATCTTTGAGGACAAATTTTACTATTAACTTTCATATCCAACTCTGAGTAGAGAGATCCTGCCTGGGAAGTTAGTGTACAGTGACTCCTGTTGTTAATTTAACAATTAACACTCTTATGTATGACATGTGATCAATCCTAGAGAAGGTTCCATGCACTGCTGAGAAGAATGTAAAGTCTTTAGATGTAGGATTGAAAGGTCTGTAGATATCTGTTAGATCCATTTGGGCAATAGTGTCAATTAAATCTGCTGTTTCCTTGTTGATCTTCTATCTGGATGATCTATCTATTTCTGAGAGTGGAGTATTGAAATCCCCCAGTACTATTGTATTGGAATCTAAGTCTTCCTTTAAGTCCCTTAACATATCTTTTAAATAGACCGGTGCCCTGTAATTAGGTGCATATACATTTATAATAGTTACATCTTCCTGTTGAATTGAACCCTTAATCATTATATAATGCCCCTCTTTGTCTCTCTTAACAGGTTTTGTATTAAAGTTTATTTTGTCTGATATTAATATGGCTACACCTGCTTTTTTTTGGTTTTTGTTGGCATGGAATATCTTTTTCCAACCTTTCACTTTCAGACTGCATGCTTCTTTGTTAGAGAGATGTGTTTCTTGTAGTCAACAAATAGTTGGGTGTTGTTCCTTAAGCCAGTCAGCCAGTCTGTGTCTTTTAACTGGACAGTTCAGGCCATTCATGTTTAATGTGACTATTGATACATAGTGACTGTGCCCTGCCATTTTCCCGGAGATATTTTCTAGTATATGCTTTGAGCTTCCCATGCTCTTTTACTGGTAGGTGTTCTTCCTTTCCCTTCTTTCATATTGATGGCCGTGTTTCTGTGTTTCTGAGTGTAGCACATCTTTAAGTATCTTTTGCAGGGCCGGACGAGTGGCCACAAAGTCTTTCAATTTCTGTTTGCTATGAAAGGTCTTTATTTCACCTTCATTCACAAATGAGAGCTTAGCAGGATATAATATTCTGGGCTGGCAATTTTTCTCTCTTAGCACCTGGGCTATGTCTCGCCATTCCCTCCTAGCCTGTAGTGTTTCTGATGAGAAGTCTGCTGTGAGTCTGATCCTCTGAGAGTAATCTGACGTTTCTCTCTTGCACATTTTAGGATCTTTTCTTTATGTTTCACTGTGGTGAGTTTAATTACAACGTGCCGTGGTGAGGATCTCTTTTGGTCATGTTTACTGGGGGTTCTATGAGCTTCCTGTACTAGGATGTCTCTGTCCTTCTCCAGACCCGGAAAGTTCTCTGCTAGTATCTCACTAAAAAGGCCTTCTAATCCTTTCTCTCCATGCCTTCAGGAACTCCTAGAACTCGAATGTTGGTTTTTTTAATAGTATCCTGTAGATTCCCAACAATATTTTTTAGATTTCTAATGTCCTCTTCTTTTCTTTGGTTTGACTGTATCCTTTCCTGTTCTCTGTCTTCTGATATTCTCTCTTCTGCTTCACCCATTCTGTTTTTAAGGCTTTCTAATGTGTTTGTCATTTGATCTATTGAGCTCTTCATTTCATTTTGATTTCTCTTCACTATCACACTTTCCTGCTATACTAGTTTCTGCGTTTCATTTTGATTCTTCCTTAAAATTTCATTTTCACGAGAGAGATTCTCAATCCTGTCAAATAAGGATTTCTGTAGTTCAAGGATTTGCTTTTGAAAACTTCTAAATGTTCTTATCATAAATTTTTTGAAATCCGTATCTTGCATTTCTTCTATCTCATCATCTTCATACTCTTGGCTTGGGGTGTTTTGTTTATTTGGAGGCATCATAATGTCATCATTGATCTTGTTCCCTCGATTTCTGTGTTTATTGCTTGGTGTGGTTAATTCTGTTTCCCTCACTGTGAGTTTTTTGTTTTTTGTTTTTTTGTTTTCTTTTTTTATACTATGTCCGTGTTAATGTACTGCCTGCTGATGGAGGAGCCTTGGAGGCTTGAGATGGGTGTGGCCTGAGAGCTCTGCTTGGTTTTTCAGGGTTACAGGTGTGCAAAGGTGACACCCTCAGGTTATGCGTGGTAAATCTCTCTCTATTTATTTATTTATTTATTCATTTATTTTATTTTATTTTATTTTTTTGTTCAGGAGGTAAGTAATACTGCAAGGCTGAGCAGAATGGATGGTATTTAGCTTTGCTCGCTTCTACCCAAAGAGTCTGTGCAGGGTTGGTTTCTCCTGCGGACTCCCACTGGGTTGCCTAGGCTACTGAATTGTAGTCTTAACTCTCCCCTTTTATTATGTATATCCCAGCTCTTTGTCTCTTGCTAGTCTTTGCAAGGTTGGTGGAGAGTGGAACTTGTCTGTACCGGTATGCCCCCACCTATTTATTTATTTATTTATTTTTCCTTCTCTCCTGTAGTCTGTTGGACTTTCCCGCTTCAAAACCCGCGTCCCTCTAAAATTCTGTCTGCCGTTTCCCCGCCAATGTCTCCGGTTACTGAGCTCACCTCCACTTCTAGCACAGATGTGTGGACTCGGAGCCCTAGGCGTCTCTCCTCTCCCTGCTGGTGTCTTTGTCACATAGACTCCCCTTCCTGCACTAGCGCTCAGACCCTGCGGCTCCCGCGGTTCGGCTTCCACGTGGTGGGCAACCCTCCTCTCCAGTAGGTCCTTTGAGTCACAGCAAATAGCTCCGGAAGAGTTTCCTCTGCAATTTTTTGCTGATCCTTTTTCTGAGGCTACCGTAACTCCGTTTTTATTAAACTAAATTTTCCCGGACTATCGGTGCGCGCCCTCACTATTCTGCCATCTTGGCTCCGCCCCCCAACAATATCACCATCCAGCTTAAGGGAATTTGGGACCCCACAGCAAATTTTTACACTGTACCCTTAGAAGTAAGTCCATAGGAATGTATGCAGAACTATACAGTTTTACAATTATAAACTTCATATATTTCACAATTACAGTTTTACAAACATGATGATTTTTCCCACCATGCCCACACCCTCTCCACCACACTCCCACACTTCCTCCTAATTCTCACTCATATTTTTCACTAAGATCTATTTTCAATTAACATTATACACATATGATTATCTATATGATAGTAAAGAGTTCAACAAATAGTATGAAAAAAGGGCTGTTCACATATTGCATTTTAGGTGCTGTATTAGTTATCACAGGAGAGGGAGAATATATGGTATTTGTCCCTTTGGTATTGGCTTATTTCACTAAGTATGATGTATTCCAGTTTCAACTGTTTTTTTGCAAATGACTGGATTTTTTTAACCACTGTGGAGCATTCCATGATTTCTTTATTTTCTTTATAACTTCTTTATCCAGTGTTCAGTTGTTGGGCATTTGGGTTGATCCCATGTCTTAGCTATTGAGAATTGAGCTGCAATACACATGGGGGTACAGATCACTCTTTCATATGATGATTTCATTCCTTTAGTTAAATTCCAGGAGTGGAATGGCTGGGTCATATGGTGTGTCTACATTCAGATTTCTCAGATGACTCCATACTGTCTAATACAGTGGCTTTACCAGTTTACATTCCCACCAACAGTGGGTTAGGGTATCGTTTCCCCCACATCCTCACCAGCATTTATTGTTTGTTGATTTCTGTATGAAAGCCATTCTCATTGGGGTTTCAATTTGCATTTCCAGGAGAGCAAGTGATCTTGAGCATTTTTTCATGTGTCTGTTGGCAATCTGGATTTCCTCTTTTGAAAAATGTCTGTTTAAGTCCCTTGCCCATTTAATAACTGAGTAATTTGGTTTTTTTGTTGCTGAGTTTCTTCACCTCTTTATATATTCTGGTTATTAATCCTTTATCAGTCGTATAGTCTGTAAATAATTTCTCCCATTCTGTCAGTTGCTTCTTCACTTTGCTGAGTGTTTCTTTTGCAGTACAGAAGCATCTCAATTTGATGTAATCCCAATTGTTAACTTTGACTTTGATTGCCTGCTTCTAGGACCTTTGCCAAGAATTCTTTGCCCATGCCCATGTCTTGCAGGGTTTCCCCAATGTTCTCTAATAATTTGATGGTATCAGGTCATAGATTTAGTTATTAAATCCATTTTGAGTGGATTTTTGTGTAAGGTGTAAGGTAGGGGTCTTGAGTCCTACTTCTCTATGTAGAGATCCAGTTTTCCCAGCTCCATTTGTTGAAGGGACTGTCCTTGATTGAGGAATTGGTTTTAGCTCCTTAGTCAAAGATAATTTGGTTGTAGATGTTTAGATTAATTTCTGGAATTTCTATTCTGTTCCATTGTTCTATTCATATGTTTTTGAACCATTACCAGGCTGTTTTAACTTCCCTGTAGTATTCCATGGAATCTGGTGTAGTGTTTCCTCCGGCCTTATTTTTGTTGTATAAGATTGCTTTAGCTATTTGGGGTCTCCTGTGTTTCTATATGAATTTCAGCATTATTTTTTCTAGATATGAGAAGAATGTCCTTGGTATTTTGATTGAGATCACAATGAATCTGTAAACTGCTTTCAGTAATATGGACATCTTGATGATATGATTCTTC